ATAACTTAATGACTGTAGCTATGAGTGTTAAATGAGGACGGAGGCTATCTTATAGTAGCTCTTCTAAATATGTCCGATTGATGTGAGACTGGGAGTGATCTTGAGCAGAGACCATTCAGGGAGAACGGAAATATATCCAACGTCCTCCCTCGAGGAAAGACGGAGCACCACAATGATGGCTCTAAACGTCTTCCTCTCGTCAGGGTTATCAAACTACTGGCCGCAATAGGTGGCCAAGGAGCCGGATACTTATCCCTTAGCTCAGCACAATGTGACATGACTTCCCGTGGGCACACCTTTTCACATGCTCTGAACGCTAACCTCATAGCTAGTGGAAAGTTACAGGGGGTGATAGTTATACAAGTCTAATGTAATTAACCCACATTTATATAAATACTTCTGTCTATAAAACGGGCTAATATAAGCGTTATGGTTTTGAGTAATTGTCTCCCATGTGAGGGGGTTGATTTGGGACTTATTCAGGTTTGTCTTAAGACTATCCTCATACCTCTTCAGTTACCCGCCAGCAGTACATTTACTATTCGTTAGTGACTCCAAAGTAACTGCTTTGGCTGTGTAATGTCGTCCATGCGGTTACAGTAGAACGTCGATTTAAAGCGATTCAATTTAAGATTATTGATTTAAAGGTACACCCACAATTAAGGACAATGTTTTAATTTAAAGCGAATCATTGCTATTTTGTGCGAGTCAATCTGGTGCATCATATTTTAAAATTTGCGCCAAATGTTTCTCTGGGCACACTACACTATCCTAAGGGCAAAGCTGTACTGTACATGTACTCAAAATAATGTACTAAATGATCACTAAAATTTTTGTCTAGTGCAAGCTATAGCATGATTATATTCAAATTAATCACTATCTTTTAAGAATTTTCAGCAATGTAAATTATATTCTCCCTGGTCAAAGCTGTGACATTTTATAAACAAAAAACAAAAATTCAGTCTAAAGGACATAAATAAACAAATAAATACTTCACTAGACCTTCGGCCCCAACTGTCAAACATGTCACTGTCACCCCCCATCTTCCCAGCCAGGGTTGGGTGGTTATAGGCTTACAGTTTTTATCTTATATAATATCACAGACTAAAGTTAGGAGAATATAATTTGCATTGCTAGAATCCTTGCAAGACAGCAAATAATTTGAATATAAACATCATATATTTTGCACAAGAGATAAAAATTATAGCTCTTTGTAATAAAATTAATTAGAACATGTCAGTTCCGTGACATTTTATAAGAGAAAAACTTAGTCACTCTTAAGGACAGATAAGCACTAGACCTTGGCATCAACTGTCAAACGTATCACCTTACCTTTTCCCCCCCTCCCCCCCTCCCCCCAATCTTCACATCATCTGATCGCTAGTAAACAGACCATTTCACGTCCCATAATTTTAGTTGTGTTGATTTATGAGTGTTTGTTTTAACATAATACTACAAAACACAATGTTCTGTTTATTCTAGGAAATGAGCTGAGTTGCATCTGGGGAGACTCTTAGTCTTTATAGTATTTTGTATTTCTCTCGAGTACCAAACTAAATTACAGTCTCTCCTCGACTTACAACGGGGTTCCGTCCCGACGACCAGATCGTAAGTTAAATTGGTCGTAAATCGAAAAGGCGAAAATAATACATAGAAATTCTAAAATGGGTGTCTTTTTTTTCTCACCACCACGAGAACTCTCACTTTTACGCTTACCAGCCATTTTAAAGGGAATTACAAACAAAAATTTTGTCGGTACACAGCGGCGATCACTAACGTCGGGACTCAAAAATACGTAATGTGAAAAATATTTTATACGACCATGTCGTATGTCCGGGTTGTCGTAAGTCGAGGAGAGACTGTATTCCATTGAAACTACACTTCGATTTAGTGCGAATTTGGTTTACAGCGACATCTCTTGGAACGAATCTCATGTTATATCGACGTTCTACTGTAACATGGCCAGTCCAGCGTAGTTGTTTGTGGATAAAGATAGCCTCAATGCTCCTACAGTTGGTGTCAGCAAGAATATTGGCATTTGTTCTCTTGTCTTCCCTGTGAACACAGAGAATAGAACGTATGTTTGTGAAAGTCTACCAAAGGCTTGAGATGCACATCTGATCCGATGTTGAATCTCTTCATCGATGTCTGCAGTGGTGGACAGGTGGGAGCCGAGATACTGAAAGTGGGTAACATTAGAGAGGGTAGTACCATTAAGCTGGATGGATGGTGGAGGTGTGTCTGAGCCAGGGGATGCTTATAGAGAATCTGAGTCTTACGTACATTCACCTCAAGGCCGAAGTGTGCATACGCATCTGCGTAGGTGTTCAGGATCTCCTTTAGGTCGCGTTCAGTGTGAGTGACAAAGGTGAGGTCGTCTGCATACTGAAGTTCAGTGATGGAAGCTGCCGACACCTTTGTTCTTGCCTGGAGTCGTCTTATGTTGAAAAGACCCTTCATCCGATACTGGATGTCCAACCCACTGGTTAAATTTGCACTGGCGCAAGTATGGAAGGCAGCCAAGAAAATGGAAGAGAGAGTTGGTGCCAGTACACATCCTTGTTTAACCCCTGTTTGGATGGGGAAGAAGTCGGACAGGGTGCTGTTGTTCAGCACACTGCTGTTCATGCCAGTGTGAAGTTGCCTCACAATGACGATGAATTTTGGTGGATAACCAAAATGGGCCTTGGTTAGGTTGTTGAAAGCCATGTACAGGTCACGACGCTGTTCTCTGTACTTTTGCTGTACAGTTAACCCTCACTTTACGCGGTCCCACATTCCGCGTTTCCACGTTTACGCGGTGCCCTGCTGGAACCCAGGATGCTCACATTCCGCGGTGCGTGTACCCCTTTACGCGGAGAGCGGCTGGCGAGCCGCGCCATTTTTGGATCCAAACCTCCCGCCATCCGCCATGTTGTGTAAGCGGCGCGAACATGGTGCGCACAAGGTCGCCCGCCACCCACCACAGCCGGCGCAAGTCAGTGATAGTGATAATTATGGTGAGGATATGGACTTATATGGACTTTGGGGAGTTTGACAAAGAGGCCCTGCAAGCCTCTGTGGTGGATAGTGATACAATTGATACAAGTGACACAGGTGAGGGCCAATAATCTGCCCTCTGCCTCGGAACCAACCGCCCATCCCCGTGTGCCCAGCCATTTTTTCTACAAATGTAAGTGTTAAAAAACCTAATATTATTGATATTTCTCTTAATTATTAATTGTGTGTGCATACCATCATAAAGTTAAGATAATATTTTTACTACAACATAGTTGTGTGTCGTCAAAAAGTGGAGTTTGGGGATCGGCCCGGACTCCATTTCAATTAATCCCATATGTTATGTTATTCACTTTACGCGTTTCTCACTTTACGCGGGACCCTCCGGGTTACATTAACCGCGTAAAGTGAGGGTTAACTGAATTTGGCGGGCAGCAAAGATCATGTCCGTGGTGCCACGTGATGATCTAAAGCCACATTGAGATTCTGGGAGGAAGTTTTCCACCTCGGGAAGAAGTCTGTTTAGGAGGACTTGGGCGATAATCTTGTCAACTATGGACAGCAGCGAGATCCCGCGGTAGTTGCCACAGTCTGTACAATGGCACCCAGTCTGAGTTCTTCCCCATCTCTTTTCCATTTTCTTGGCTGCATTCCTTATTTGTGCCAGTGTCAATTTTGCCAGTGGGGCAGACATCCAGTATCGGGTGAAGGATCTTTTCATCATTAGACATCTCCAGGCTTGAAGAAAGGTGTTGGCAGTTTCCTTTACTGAACTTAAGTCACACCTCCTCCATCCATCCAGCTTAACGGTACTACCCTCTCTAATGTTACCCACCTTCAGTATCTCGGCTCCCACCTGTCCACCACCATGGACATCGATGAAGAGATTCAGCATTGGCTCGGATATGCATTTTAAGCCTTTGGCTGACTCCGTACCCATGTCTTCATCTGTAGGGAGCTGAAATTATATACAAAGTTGCACATATATCGAGCAGTGGTCCTCTCCACCCTGCTATATGGCAGCGAGACATGGGTTACATCATAATTATTATTTTATTATATTCCCCCCCCCCCCTCCAGGCTTTGATGTGAGTTATTAAAAATGACCTGTGCCCGAGTGGACTCATGCCTGTAAAAAAAAATATAATAAAAAAATACAAGAGGCATCTCAAGGCACTTGAAAACTTTCACCAATGTGGTCTACATTCCATCCTCTGAGTTGGCTGAGAAGACACTAGAAGAAGTACCAGTATTTTTACTGACACCACGTTGGACTGGCTATGTTACCCGTATGGATGACAATAGACTGCCAAAGGAACTACTTTAGTCACTTAACGAATGGTAAACGTAACGCTAGCAGGCAATGGAAAAGGTATAAGGATAGTCTTAAGACAAACCCAAAAAAGTACCAAATAGACCCCCCTCACCTGGGAGACGATCACTCTGCACCATATTACTTTGAGGAGCACCACACGAGAAGGTGTCAATACTTTCGAATTAGACCGACTGCATACTGAGGCAGACAGGTGCCAGCACCGGATAGATGCTGCCGTCGACCCTCCTGCATTAGATGCAGCCTTCCACATATGCCACATCTGTGGACTGCCCTGCCGGTCCCATATTGCTCTCTCGAGTTACCACAGAGCTCACCAATGAAGGTGACATCCTTAATAACTCGTATCATAGCTGGATGATCGTCATACTCGATTCCGAGTGACAACAAAGTAGTAATAGTAGTTTATTTATGTTCTGGGCCCTTGGTCAAAATGAGTTAATTTCAATTTCATGGACAGGAAGGCTCATTCTTACTTGTGAAGAGGTTTTGTCTACTCCTTTAACCTTTCCTCCCTATTCTTTTGAATCCACTGCTGCTTGGGAGATGCTACTCCATAGATATATGGATGACTGATTTAAGAATGTTTGCCCTAGATTTTACTTTTATTTTTAATAACCATGGTAATTTTATTAATTTTTTCATAATAAGCACTTCAATTTTGCCCCAGAATGTGCCTGTGCCAACTCTGGACCAACTGTGTCAGATTGTAAGAGAGAGAGAACAACAGTCATCAGTCAAGATGAACCGTGTGGCCACAGGGCCAGTGATAGAGAGTACATCAGTTGCTCCTCGGCAGAGACCCAAGGCTTCCTCCCTTACTGCTGCTGGCAGTACTCTTCCACTAGGGTTGCCGCTCCAGAACACACAAGGTTAGTTATCTCAAGGCTTCATAGTTATATGAATATCAAGTTTGTAAATCAAACACTCACACTTTAGCATCCATTGCTCATCTCTTAAATTTTCATTATTTAATAATAATTTAACCTTGTTACCCTAGGCATCACTTCTTTCAGTACCTGCCACAATGCTGAACCAACACCTGACCTCAGTCAGATATTTCGGCTTTGTTCATTCTTTTTTTCGAGCATGCCTCCTCACAGAAGGACGATCACTGTTTACACCGACGGCTCTAAGTCAGATGCGGGGGTGGGTCTTAGGGTAGTCTTTCCTGAATTCTGTTGGGATGGTAGTCTCCCCACTATGGCATATATTTTTACTTTAGAGCTTTCTGGTATTTTTCTTGCCCTCAAGATTATTTTTACCCATCCTCATATCGATTTTACAATTTTTAGTAATTCTTGTAGTGCTCTCCAGGCCTTAGCTAGTGTCTCATTACCCTATCTCTAAGCTATAGATATTTTACAGAGGCTGTTTCTCATTCATCGTCAGGGCCAGAAAGTAAATTTTTGCTGGGTTTCGGCCCAAGTGGGGGAGAAGGGGAATGAGCATGCTGATCCATTGCAAGTCCTGATGATCTGGTGAGCCGTATCAGAGGGAGGGAGAAGGGTTTCCCAAACTAGGTGGGTCACTGGGGAGGGTCCAGGCAAATTGCTCCTATCTGCTGCCGGTTTTGAGAGCAGACCGACAGCATCATCCCCAGCTCAGAGAACTTGAGCTGGAATCTCTTCCATTTGTTTGCCTTGTGTGTCGACCTATAATGCTGGGAGACAGGAGTCCTGGAGGGTAAGTGACGGTGCACCCTGCGGTTAATAACACCTCTTTGGTCCCCTATTTCAACTTGACAGGTGGCTTGGTTGGGGCTGATCAAGTCAATCGGCTGGTCACAGTGTGGCTAGTGTCCAGCGGGCATCAGTGGGACTGGCATTCCTATTGTTTTGTAGCTGTTGTCTTGGCCCCCTGGTGGTTACCTGTGTATACTCCCCCATCACCCCGAGGGTCACCAGGGTTTTATCTCTATTGTTGACCTCCTCTTTTTGGGTTCTGTGGTGGGTGGGAAAATAATGTTTATTTTGATCTTTTATGGGAGAATCACACTCCTTTGCCAACCAGATTATACCCCTGATGACCCTGGACTCTCCTCTGAATTTCCCTGTCTTGTGCCTGCATTTCCTCCAGATGGATCATCAGTTGCAACATTGGAGCCTTATCAGGTTAAAAAATAAAAGTGGCTCTGGGTCCCAGCGAATACCCAAGTATAAGAGCTGCAGGAGGCCCACTGGCTCTGGCACTCTCCATGATGTTTCTGCCCGTGAGATCTTATCAAGTGTGATCAAACTGGTTGATTTTGTAAAATACCTAATGCTCCATATTGTGGAAGGCCAGCCTGTAATGGACCTGAACAGTTTGCTGTTCATAGGTCAGTTGTATCAATTTGTGGAAGAGAACCAAAAATAACCACTCAGTGAGATGATACCCTCCTAGTGGAGGTCTCCTCCCCAGAGGAGAGTGCTCTATTCCATACCCTGTCTGAGGTACCTGGTGCCCCCCCTTCTCGTGGACTTCATATACCACCTTTAATCATTGTCGAGGAGTGGTGTTCTCGATACTCGGAGGAGAAGCTTCTGGAGGAGCTCTGAGTTCAAAGGCTGAGGAAAGTAGACAGGTTCTACAAGAAAGTAAATGGCATTCTTACCCCTACACCAATGTTGTTATTGACATTTCATTGCTTTGAACTTCCAACCTCTATCAATGTTGCTTGGATCTCCCTATAGATGAAACCATACGAGTATGTCCTAAACCCTAGGTGATGCTTCCATTGTCAGATGTATGGCCATGTCAACCACGCTTGTCATTGGTTACAGCAGGGTGTTCCTGTAGTATATGTTAACTGTGGTAAGGTTCATAAGGGTCAGAAATGTGTGGGTCCTGTCTGCTGTTTTCATTGTAGTGAAGCACACCTGGCCTCTTCTAGTGAATGTGATGGGTTCTGGTAATTTTTGATGACTGACCTGCCACTGATTTTTCATAGAAAACGATTTTAAAAATGCCGCAATTTCACTGTGTTTTATAGTGGACACTGCTATTCGTTTGGCAAATGTGTTAAAAAGTGGTTATTTATAAATTAAACCTAACTTTAGTTGATAAGAAAAATAAGCAGCAGAAGCATTGTTAAAAGACCTCACCAACCTAACCAAAGAAACCTACCTAGCTTGCTAGCCATGGGGCTCCGCTTCCCAGACCCTCCGGCATATTAACAAGTAAATGGGCACTCCACTATGTCGATCATGGAAGGGGAGGGGGGGAAGATTCAAGATCACCGCACTACTACTGTTGACACAGCCAGCACATAAATTGACACGAATAGATGGCGCTTCGTTGATGGACTGGGCTGAGACCTCATTGAGCTTATTATTGGTGTAATGACAAGCTGACTTCACTGGGGGCAACAGGTGGGACTGGGGAGTAACTGTTGCTGACCCCTTCTCGTTTGTGACTCTCCTCTTCTTCCTCAGTCCGCCCCTTTTAATTCAGTTTTCTGGGTCAATCACCTGTACAAAATGATCTTATCAATGTTAGTTTATGGTGATATGTCCTGTTTACTGTAGGCCAGTTCCTGGCATGACCCCTCCATTCTGCCAGCTGGAGGGCAGCATTTATTGGATTAGCAAGGTCCTATCACCTGTTCTCTCATCACACAGAGGCAAGAACTCCTTTTCCCTTCATGTCTCTTGTTGGGTCAGGTCTCTATCTCATTTGATTACTGTAGGGTGGGTTGACTCAGGGGGTGTACACCTGCTTCACTAGTTACTGCTATATGCATTGTTCTTCTTCCGGGCTGGACACTTTGATCTGATGGACAATCATTATAACCCCTTCTTTACCTCTTTACCACATGCTCCTGTCGATGAATACAGACATATCCCTCATTATAATGCACTCACCCGCCCCCACCTCATTGCGCAGTGTGAAGGGGGGGGGGGGGTTATAATTATACCCGCACTCACAACTGTTTATTCTGTTGTAATGAGGTGAAATGGCCCCATTATTAAAAGCAGAGTATCCCAGGACTCACCTCACCTCACTAGCAGAGACAATTTATGCTAGTCAACTGAATTCCTTCATTAGCTGGAATCCCTCAAACCCAGACCTGTCCGATAGCCTGAATTGAAATTTGCTTGGAAAATAATTCCCAAAGCCGGAATTTTCCCCAAATTTCCAACTTTAGGAACAAAATTTCCGAGGTTGAAATCTAGAGCATTTTCTGAAAATGTCTTAATTTAGATGAAAGCTGAAGTATTTTCTGGCGGGGGACCTGACCTGACCTAACTCAATGTCAGGTGGGAGGTAGGGTGGGGGATTAGTGGTCTCATATTACTGACCTTCTGATGGAATGTGAGGTCACCCATTCTTGTGTGGGGGATTAGTGGGTCTCATGACCTGAAGATGTCTTGAATAAACATGAAAGCTAAAGTATTTTTAGGGAGATTGTGATAAGTATAAGTATAAATGAGCAAAGTTGTATCCCTTCAACACTACATTACATAACATTTTAAAATATGGAGTGAGAAAGCAGAATGGTGTGGGTGATTAGAGAGATGGAGTGGAAAGGAGTGGTAACATGCACCAGTGTTGCCAATTGATAAGCTCCTCAACAGCTGATCTTTTAATTCACCTCCATGCAGTCACACAACAAGACCCTCACTGGATGCTTGTTGTCTTAATGCGTGTGTGTGTGTGTGTTGTTTCCTTTCCAATTAATCGATTTCCAAATCAATTTACAATCGTTTTCATCCAATACTCTTTTCCATCTCAGTCGAGCCTCGTCCCACACGTTTCCATGTCCCGGTTGTTACTTGGCGAACCTGTTAGTTGTGTTCATAATGATGTGACATCCCTCCGAGATAGTTGCGCCGACGTCTTCGCCACCAGTCACGTTGGGTGGTTCCACGTCCCCTAGTACACTCGCCAGCTCTTCAGTGTCAATTGCCTAATGACACAGACTCTTCCATAATTTGTTGTGTGTCGGTAGTATGAATGTCCTAACAACACTGATGATCTCTCTAACAGCTGGTCCGCTGAGACAGGATTATTGTTCTCTTATTAACGTGATGCAGAGTGGGGCGTGGTAGAAGCTTCCAACATCATGACACACAACCAGTTCTTCAATTAATTTTATGCATTCATCCTTCATGATACACAAGTCAATTTCAGATATCCATGTATCCCTCCGTTTAAATGATAAATCGCCTTCTAACTGCTTTCCGTTACATGTTTGGTGGTTAACTACAACCATACAGTTGTTGATACACATATATACACATATTTACCGTGGCTATTGACAGTATAATCCTTTACTCCGCTGTACTCCTATAAGTCACCATTCTGATCCGTGATGCGTGGCTCTCCGACCCTCGCGTTGAAATCTCCGATTACGATCACTTTCCCAGGTCCCACAGTGTGCTCAGCAAGTGCACCATAGTGCGATGGCTGGCAATATGGTGAATCCTCTGGAGGCATGTACACGCCACCTAGCTTGAGGCTCGGTGACCCCAACATTACCACCCAGATCTAGCCTTCAGTATCAGTGTCTACTCAAAAGATGTTTTCTGATAATTTGCAGCTAACAAGCATCACTACTCCTCCTCTGTGATGGCCTTCCTTTGATACATTGGTATAAACATTAAATCCAGGAACACTCAATTGGAAATATTTCTTTGTTTCTAATATTCAAACTACAGTATGTCGAAATTTAGAACAAATTTAAAAATATTTGCTCCTGAAGTTTATCCATAAATCCGGCAATGTTCCATGAACACAATTTTAACTTGTAAAAAGCGTCATGTTGTCTACTAGTTAAAAAAACAAGGTGAATATCTGTCTATGATGACGCCGTCCCTCCACAACACTCGATTCTTCCATTCATAATATATATTCACTCAAACGTTTTCAGGTTTCTCCTTTTCTTCCC